ATGGGCATTCGCATGTCACCAGGCTTCTGTGTCTGCTGACTCACCTAAAACTTTTCCTTAAAAGAGAGCTAAAAAACTAAATTTTTATCATAATTGGGTATTTTGAAAATTACTTTTTTTTTCTGAACCACACCATCATGTAATGCATACACCATTAACTGGTGTTGTCTGTGTGAGGGAGATTGGGCTAAGAAAGGAGAAATCTAACATGTCGCTGCCCTTCTGTGATAAGTTCACTTATTTCTGGGAAGAGGATGAGCTATAATAAGAGGGTTCAATGGAAGTAAGTCCACTTTTTGGTTTTATATTCTTGAGTGCCAGTTTTTCTTTAGTATAGGCTAGTATAACAGTTGTCATTTTTGCTCAATAGTAGGCTTCCACTTTTTTATATCTAGTGGAAGACATTTTCTAGTTTGGTATGTTTTCTAGATTGCTTTGAAATGTGAAAATATAAAACCCTAGATCTGTGTAAATCAGTGAATCATTTGTCAACCTTATTTGTTGCATACGTTTCCATGCCATTTTCAAATATTGTTTTGTTTGTACGCATTAGCATGGCTTACAAGTCTACTTGTTCTTTTTCCCACTTGTTTGGTCTCATTTATTGTGTTTCTTGACTGGCATATATTCTGATTTAGCTGAGCCAATCCACATTTTTTCTTTTTAGCATTGTCTCTAAATCAGTTGCAGTTTTCTTTGTCTTCTTCATCTTCAATAATTGAACTTCCTGTAGTAACTAAGTCTGATATAATTCTTGTGAATTACAGGTAATTATAATTGATGAGATACTGAAGTTATTGTCTAGAAATGTCAGAGGTAATTATTTTTCTCATATATAATATTGTGTCATCTTGTTAGTCTCTTTTTCTAGTTCAGTCAAGTGACTCGCGGATTTAATAGATCCCCTTCTGCCATTGTTTAGTAATGACTGCATTTGGTATGGTTATACAGGGAGAAGGTTCAACTTGAGGTTCGGGAAACGTGATTTACTACCAAAAAGGGAAATACGTGACAGATAGTAAGGGCTGGAGGGATTGCCCAAACCAGATTTTGACCGCATAGTGGTTCATTACATGCATTAATCTCATAACCCCTGTTCTTGAAGTTGAGAAAACGTCAAGAGTTATACGAGTAAGGCTTCGAGGTTTTAGAAAGGCAAGCGAGTGCATTGCCCCTGATCTTCAGTGCTTTTAGAGATCAAGGGGAGTTTCATTCTCAGACAAAATGTTGTAATTCACAGGTATAGTGACTTCTTGGTGTGATTACATGTTTCTCTTAATTGTGATGATTTTGTTGTGCATGTTTGTGTTTACATCGTTGTAAGTATTTAAAAACTGGGTGCTGCATCCCTTGGCCCAACGCCATGCTTCATGGGTTTGTTATGTAATATGCCATAAATGTGAGTTAAGACTTTGCAATACTGGCTCACTATTTTATTTATTTTGATATTAACCATATATATTAAACATCTGCAGAGTTCTTCTAATTTATTCCAGTAATGTGCGAATTTCTTGTAGTCTAATATTATGTTTTCTGATAATTGACAAACTTTTAGTTATTGTATAATTTTGAATAAGTACGAGCTATCTATTAGTACCCCTGCATTTCATAATTTATTTGCTGCCGATGAGAACATTGAGAACAGTTATCAAAATGGGAAAAAGTTTATATAGAATCGAGACTCGAAACAATTAAATTAGAGCCCACCTCAAAAATTTCACTAGAAGAGGTTTTTTTGCCCAAATATTTTCAAATTGATCTTCTCGATATCAAGATGCATGGACATGATTAAAAAAAATGGATTTTTAAGTTTTGGAAATAGTGCATCTTGTATCGCATTTTTGAACCGTCAATTTTCAAGATTTTTAAGTTTTCATAGATATGCTTGATCTACATTATTTTTGAAGCATTAAATTTTATAATTAAAGATGAAAATATATTTTAAGGCTATCACAAAGATATCTAGTATTAAAACTATATTTCTCGATACTATTTGAAGGTAGGCTTTACTTTCATTGTTTAAAACCTCGGCTCTATACAAACCGCACTCTTATTTAAATATGCCCTAATGAGAATTCTGTTCTCAGTGGGGGTTTAAATAGGTTGGGTCGGGTTTGGGTTGATTGGGTCCTAGCTAGACCCAGACCCAAACCCAAACCCAACGCTTAACCAGGTCCAGGTGAAATGGATTGGACCCAACTGGCTGGGTTGTGTTAGGCTGGGGTTTAGATAAAAGAAAACAAATTTTAGTACATACATTTTATAATGTTCAAGTACTATAGATTTATATGCACATTATGTACATCCCATCTTGGACACGATAAGGTTCAGGATGGAAGGGTCCAAGTCCAATGGACCCAAACAAGACCTGTTGGGTCTAGTATGTTGCTCTAGAGCGAGACTTGGGTCAAGTTGACCCAGCAAGTCAACTTGACCTAGCTATCACCCTTATTTGGGGAGTATTAAATATGATAACATTAATGTGCCTTTAAAATTAGAAAAAACTAAAAAAATTTGTCTAAAGTTAACAACCCTTCAAAATACAAAGATTAAATACAAAGATTAGTGTTATAATGAGTTGTGGATGGTGTACTTATAAAAAAAAAAAAATTCATTACTTCTTGCTTAAAAATTAATATATTACTTAATTTAATCATTAAGGGTAGATTTGAAATTTTTTCAAAAATATAATGGTATTTTTAGAAGTTAGTGTTTTGAAATTTTATTTGTAGAGTACTATTATTTTTTGATAAAAATTTTAATTTTACCTTTTATGAAAATGATAAAAAGACCTCTTGCCTTTTTATATAAGGGTGTGGTTTCTATAAGGTTGCAACCTTAAACAATCAATTAAGGTGCACCTTCAAATTTTATCATAACATATAATTTTAGTGAAAAAGATTCTTAGGATTATCTCAAAATCTATTTCATATCTATTTATAAAATTTTAAACTTAAAAAATAGTCAAAATCAAGTAGATCTATATATATATATGAAAATAGTGAAAATGGATGGTCTATATGATATATTGCAAGTTGCATTATTTTTGCGACTATTTTTGTTTTTTCTTTTCATATTCATACATCTCGATGTTGAGATGATCAATTAGAGGTTTTTTAAACATTAAAACAACATTTTTTGATGGAGTTTTGAGGTGCATATGTAATTCTACATTTTAAGGTTGCGACCTAATATAAACTTTTTCCTTTACATAAACGCAATATCACAAAAAATAATTTTTTAAAAAAGAAACTACAGATTTAGTAAATCCACTCGTCACAATTCATTCTAACATTAACCTTTGTGATTTAAAATATTGTGAATCGTAGATTATCCCAAACAAAAATAGTCATTCCTTCAACTTTCATATGAGCGTCAAAAACACAAATGGGAAACAATCAGCAAGATAAGGATTGTAGCTCAATTTTATTTCACTTTATATAATCATGTCTTTGCACTAGATATCCTTCGGGTTAGGATTTATGGACCTCAGGTTGGTAGCATATTTTCAAATTTCTTGGACTCTTGGTGGTCACCCTCTACTATACCCACTGCACAGTTACTCCCACTTTGCATGACCTACCTATTGCACCACCATTCCCACTTGCATACTCATGGTATTACAACCCACTGCCACTCACATGGTGATTAGTAGAGTTAGGATTTGAACATAATCACTGTGTGGAGTGAGTGTTTAGTAGAGTTAGGATTTGAACATAATCACTGTGTGAAGTGATAAACAAGCCGTCTTTAGCACATTAGTGGCCATTACAAGAGTTCGAATTCGAACCTAGTCGATATGGTCAAGCCGCAAGCCTACAAGTGCATTTCATACTGTCCATGCACTTGCCCACATATGCGTGCAGGGAGATAACTCTCGAGCATTACGTTGCTAATGCTGCACCCAGCCTCTCATCATTCCCTGAATGGTCGTGGAGGTACGTCATATTTTGGGAACGGGGTTGGGGCAACAGTGGTTAGTGGGGCGGATGCCACTGTTTGATGTCGCACCCTCTACTCCCACTGTTGACATACCAAATTTTTATATATTCATGTCATGGGAAATGTTTCATGTCACAATGTTATTGCAATATAATGAAACCATATTTCTAGAAAACTATGCTTGTAATATTTGTATGACCCAAAAATGTTAGAATTGTCAAAATGTATTTTCTAGAGAATACATTAGCCTTTATTTTATTATGAGTGAGGTAGTGAATACATATTTTATTATGAGTGAGGTAGTGAAATTGTATTCGTAAGTTTGTGTAATAAGAAATTATGCAACTACTAGTGAGTAGTAGTTATTGTAGTAAATATGTTTGTAAGAACATTTATATAAAGAGAGGTGTATTGCGGGAAAATTTGAATCACATGTTTTAAAGTTAATCTTGGGCATCCAAATTGTAATCTCTTTGTATACCCCTGGATCACATGCATTAAGGTTAATCTTGTGTGTCAAGATTGTAATATTTTTGTGTACCCCACGTTTTATCTTTGAATAAAATTTTTTCTTTCACCTCATCTTAATTGTTCTTCTTCTATCTATTTGGTTGAATCTTGGACTAGTGTGACATTGTTACACTAATTGAGAAGTGGATTGTTCGGTAATTATTGCATCCATCTTTCTCTACAAAAAATTGTACACAACCTCTCTTTACCCTAATAATCAATTTTAAAAAATAAAATTCAGTCTAGATATGTTCAAAATGAGTCCCCTACCAATAAGGAATCTAGACCATCTATTTGGTGAATTTCAAAATCTAAGCTTTTACAAACTCAAATAAGGTATCGGGTTCATCAACCACAAGCTCTATTCTTCACCAGCCATAAACGATTGAAGTCTAGACAGGCTGCTCTCTGTTAACCAAACAGCATAGGAAAATGTAAGAACCAGGCTTTTACAATCTACCAATACGGCACCGGGTTCATCAACCACAAGCTCTATTCTTCACCAGCCATAAACGATTGAAGTCTACACAGGCTGCTCTCTGTTAACCAAACAGCATAGGAAATTGTAAGAACTATTTAAAATTCTCACAATTAGTTCAGAAAAATATAATTGACAAAAACACATTTCTTTTGAGAAGGATGACTTGAAAGAGGTTGACGAGAGAGATATTCCCAATGGGCATAAAAAACGAAGTAATGAAAATGGAAAAACACAATTCTTCCCCTTGGCTTTAGTAATCAGCACAGAAGGAGCTGCACTCTTTCTACTCTGAGCTAAGAGAACAAAGGACTACTCTGAGCTAAGAGAACAAAGGAATATTCATATTTGAATCCCATCGGATAAGGACACCTTTTAGATCGATTATCAATTGACAAATTGAAAAGGGGGGAATATATATAATATACACACACACAATCAAATTTGTCACGATTATCATACTTGTAAGATGGTTCCACTATTCTCTGGCGATGTCTTTTAGCAATGCGTCTCAGCTTGATTCTATTTCGTGCAGGGCATGCTTGCGGTTCTGGAAAGTAAAAGACAGGTATTCAGCAAATAGTAATGCACACTCAAAGCCAGAGTACCATATTTTGCAATTTTTTTCATTGACTTTACATGAACAGGTGGGTCACTTTGCTGAGCAAACAGAACAAGTGGGGCTGATTAATTTCCTTAAAGCACCGATAAGCACCTTTCCCTCTTCAATGTGGGACTAAAAGAGTGGCTCATGCATTGATTTTTAACCTTATGAAATATATAAATCGGCCAAGATATCCACATGAATGGTGAACCCATTTTATAAATTCTACATTATTTATTTGACACAGGCGAGTACATCCACAACAGCTCTCTCTCTCATGATGCTTCTTCCCTAATCATCAGGTGAACCTTCAAATTTGGTCCTCGATTTACTGTTCTCAAAGTTAGGTCCTTCAGAAAGTTTAAATGAGTGAATTCCTCCATACATATAATAGTAGTATACCTGTGCCAGTCTTATTCATGCTTTGATCAATCTGCTGAAAAGTTTGATTGACAGCCTCTGCTGGATCAAATGAAGGATCCGATCGAGTATGTTCACAATTTGAAGGTAATGTAGGTCCAATGAACCTCCTCCTCAAACTTGAAGCTGCTTCCTTAAGCTTTCGTTTCTTTAACCTCTTCCTTTGTGCTCTTGTGAGCTTTTGAGGGCCACTTTCATAATTCTCACTCAAGGATTCTGACTCGTCTGAATCGGCAGTACCTGATAGAAAAGGCTCATATTTTACATATGGGAAAGTGCAATGCGGTGCAATGGACTACAGAAAAAAGGTTCACAGTTTACATAGGAAAAGTATGTAACAGTCCATTGAGGCCATTTGATGAAATATTGGATAGATGGGAAAATTGGTCTAAGAGGGGCGAGGACCTTAAACTTTCCATTAACCTATCCCAAGCCGGGTAAAGAAGGGAGGTTATGTCAGGTAGGAAGCCAACGTAAAACTTTACCAAAAATTTCTATGAATCATGAATTTACATTATCTGCTTATGCTAGGGCATTCCCCATAAACGACACGCAGTACCAAAACCCAAGTACAGTGAGATATGAGTACGGGTTAGCTAGGGCATTCCCCACAAGCGATGTGCCGCATTGCTCCCCGGTTGCCGTGAAAAATAGTCAAGGGTTCCCACGACATTCTGGATAAACGTGGGTAAAAAGGCTAGTCCAAGAGAATAGGATTCATTTTGGTGTGTTGGGCACATGCAGTGTAGACCTAGTATAGTACCTATTAAGAGGTGCGAGTTGGTTCAAGTAGAAGGCTCAAAAGAGTAAAGGATAGGCCCAAAAGAACATGGTTGGAAGTAGTGAGAAAACATATGGGGATTTATGGCCTATGGCCCTTGATAAAGCAGAATGACGGACCAAGATTCGTGTAGCTGACCCCAAATAGTTGAAAAAATGCTTGATGATGGATAGATGGGAAAACAAATGGGACCCATGTTCTCCTATTCTTTGGTTGGTAGGTCGGGGGGCGCATTCTCTTTCCACCATTGTTGTGATGACTCCAATGGGTTAAGGTTCTCCACAGTCCATTGGACTATAGTTATACTTTACCCTCTGCATATACGACAAGATAAGTTCATTCTAAAAGTGAAAGAAATGTTTGGACTGATAAGTCATTTATCAAAACATACCCGCAGGTGAACTCTCCCTCAAAGCCTGAACATGAGGTCCCACTGGTTCTGACACAACCTATTAAAAAGTCCACGTAAATATGGCTTTAGTGTCTAAAGATTTTATCAAAAATGAATTAGCAATTGAAAATCTCCACTAAAATGTTACTAATGTTTCTATATCCAGGAGTTCTTAATTTGCATGGTAAGTCATGGCATTTAATGTAGCACACATAATTTAATTCATCATAGCAAGACGTGATAGCAAAATAGTCAAGAAACTTCCAATTGACAAACCATGAAGATTGGTACAGAAATTACTTCTATTAATCTATGGAAAAATATAGAATCAGACCATTTACCTTCGGTACATAGTGAAACATTAATCTTGACCATTGGATGTGAAATTGGGTGGCTGCAATTATTCCATTGACTAAGCTCAAACTTCAAAAGAAATTTTTTCGAACTTCGTGACACATCCAAGCTATCGAACTTCATATCGGATGGTTGTAAGTAATTGTGACCACCTTGTATCAAAGGTAAATAGTCTCATTGTATACAATCCCTTAAATCTATAGCATCATTTACAAACAGCTAAATCATATTTTCATCATTGTTTGAAGACTCAGCCAAGTAACTCGGCCTCAGTAGGGTGTCAAGGTGAGTTTGGTGTACAAATTCGTATTTAGAAATATATTATTATTTTTATCTAATTTTTGTTACTTAGCAATAATAACTAATGTATAAAATATCTCTATATAATTTTTATTTTGTTATAATGATTTATGAAAGTTTTCTATTATATGGTTTATTTTCCATGTTCCTTTTGGATTTTTCTAAAGTGTTTCAAGCTATGAATCAATTTTTTCCCTATTCTATCCAGTGCTCCAAGAAACACCAGATGGCGCCTAACTGGCCAAGGGGTTCTAGCCGCCCAGGTTTCTGGGCGGCCAAAGTGGAATCAGAAGGGTAGGAGGTGTCTGATCCAACTGTTTTAGATCCAAATTCAATGTGAAAACTAAAAAAATGTATATTGAGGCATAACACATTAAGAATGCATAACATATAGCACATTCATAGTCCATAGTCCATACTCAATAGTTCATACATACTAAAATAAGGTATATTGAGGTGAGGTCCAAAGTATTTGATATTTGGATAACTAGTTAATAACACATTAAGCAAAATAGGAAAACATAATCTGACATTCAAAATTTTAAAATTCAATCATCAACTCATCTTTAGGAAAAGGAAAGAAACAACACATAGTCCATAGCCCACATACACTCCACGAATCCATACTCCTTAGTCCATACACACATTAGAGGAGGAAAAGAAAAAAGAAAGAAACCTAGACTTGAAGACTCAAAAAGTCTTCAATCATCATCAGGAAAAGTAGGGTTAGCTGCATCGTTTGCATCGGAGTCAAGCCCGTCTATTTATCCCTATTTGAAAAGGAACGTTGGTTTCTAGGAGGTTGGTTTCTCATAGACATGTTGAAAAGGAACGTTGGACTTTCTTCTTTCCTATATGAGGGAGGTCAGAGGGCATGGCATGTTTCAACATGGTGAAAATTACAAAGACTTCTCTGATAGCTGCTCCTTTCTTTAAAGGTTCTTGAAAGCAAAATCCGGACTCTACGATCTCCAGCCTCAGGGCATTTCCTCTCAAATCTGGGGTTTCGGTGCTCATCCTCACACCTAATATTTGCTTCCATTGGTATCAGAGCGACCCAGGTTTCGTCTTTCTCTTTATTTTAGTATTTATATTCTTTCCTTTCGTGATGTTTCTTGAATTTACAGTAGAACTTGTTTAATCTTAATTACATATCATGTTTTAAAATTGACATTGCATGTTACTGCAAACTTCTTTAAAACCTTAATCTCATGAACAAATTAGCCTAGTTTCTTCTCTGCCACAGGGTTTTCCATACCCTGTTTCTTTTATCTGTTTGAAAGCTATTTGCCCCATCTATTTATCCCTACTTTAATATCGGTCTGTATAAAGAGTTGTAGTATGTTTTTGTCTTTAAATACTAAAGTAGTTATCTTCCCTACCTTTTCTTTGTTTCTATTTTTTTTTTTTTTTTTTTTGTCACTTAGACTACATTAATGAAGGGCAAAAGGTTATAATCCACGCGAAGATCTTTTTTATTCAAACAAGGTACACCAATAAAAAGCTTCTTCTATCCCTCTTTTTTTCTTCAAGGATATAAAGATAGATGAAAAGAAAAAAGGTGATCTCTCTCTCAACGTTGCAGTACTCGTCACCATCTTTTTCCCCATTTCCCTTTAGGTGCCATTAGCTATTGTTTTCACATAGGCCATTCTTTAAATTCTAAGGCTCACCATTTATTTCCCCATTTCCCTTAGGTGCTATTAGCTATTGCTTTCACATAAGGCCATTCTTTAAATTCTACCCAAAGAACTAAAATGTCGAAAGTTGCTCCTCTCTCTAAACTTTCTTAAACCAAAACCCAAGAAAATAGCATGTTTAATCGGGATCTTACTTGTGATAATTATGGCGTTTTGTCCATCCTCATCAATAACAATATATGATTGATATTGCTCTCATTTTTTTTGTGAAACACGTTCTACAAACTTTGAGTTAATTTATTTTGAATAAACAAGTGATTTTAGTTAGACCAACACTAATGCATCGGATCCCATCTGAACTCCAAAGTCAAGCGTGCTTGAGCAAGTGTAGTACTAGGATGGGTGATCTCCTGGGACGTCCTTGTGTTGCACCACTTCACGGGTGGGGGCTCTTCATCCCCACTGATTCACCCAAAAAGAAAAAAAAGTGATTTCAAGATAGCACTCAAGTAACTACGACTTCCCAATTTTGCCAATATAATCTAGTCATAGGATTAAAAAAAAGGGTATTGGGGTAGTTTCCTGCTTCAAGAAACTGATGAAACATTTCTCCTAAAATCGATTGGGAATTTTTATTTAATATGATTATGAATTGTTACATTTGGTTGTTGTTCTTGATCTTTCCAGCTTTTGGATTGCTCCAATTTATTGTTTGAACTGATGCTTAAAGGAGCTTTATTTGTTATTCTATTTTTATGAATTGTTACATTTGCTTCTTGTTCTTGATCTTTCCAGCTTTTGGATTGCTCCAATTTATTGTTTGAATTGATGTTTAAAGGAGCTTTATTTGTTATTCTATTTTGTTCTTAAACCATAATGTCTTGAGAACAAAATTATAATTCTTTTTTTTCATCTGGCTAAAGTAGGGAATTAGCCTTACTTGTCTATAAGACACATATACTGATAATTGGTGTTCATTGCTAAGTGATTGCAATTTGTGGCCAAATCTCTTTGTAGGCATTAACCACATATTGTGTAACTTTTTGGTAGCTTCTAGTTGGTCTATCTTACATTCCTATTTTTCTTAGAACTTAGAAACTATTTAGGTTGCTCACCTATAACTTAGCAAGTCCCATGGCTAGCAGAATTGTAATGGCAGATCTTTCAAAAATAAAAAAAATTAAATGGAGCCAACTTCAACATGTGGAACAAGAAGATGGAATATCTCCTCATCCAAGATAGAATTTTACATGAGCTAAAAGATTACCCACCAATCGTTAGTGATAAAACCACTTAAGAAAAGAAAAGAAAAATTCATAGAAGATGACCTCATAACTAGGACATCGATGCTAAAATTTATGCGAGATGATCATATTAGGGTATTCGAATATTTTGACACCTCTAAGAAAATGCGAGAGGCAATAAACACAAAATATGACACAATATCAGAGATTCACCTCCAACAACTCCTAGAGCAATACAACTCTTTTAAAATGAAGGAGGGTGACAATGTGGTAAACTATGTAAATAAAATGCTCGTTATGGCTAAGGACCAAGCCATTGCCGAGAATTAAGGTCCCAAGCATATGCAAGTTTCCACCATTTTAAATGGTATTCCAACTTCATAGAGGATTGTAACCGTATTCCAACTTCATAGAGGATTGTAACCATAGCACGCAAGTTAAACGCAAAATCCCTTACTTTAGGGGACCTAGCCATGCAATTGGCCTTTAAACAAGAACATATGAACAAGGATAAAAGCATTGAGCTCATGCTTGCTCAAGTTTCTCCCAAATCTAACCAACCCAAGCGTAATAACCAAAAATTTTAAGGAAACTTTAATAAGAGAAACAATAGGTTCAAAGATAAAAGAATCAAACCCCTCAACCAAGAAACTGACAAGGACTGCCAAAATGCTTCACATGTGGTCAACCAGGTCACTTCAAAAATCGCTGCCCACAGAATCCATAAACAAAATCCTAAGAATAGTGTGCCACAGGGGCTGCGTGCCAGGCACCAGCTCGATGCGGTGATCCACCGTTTGTTGTGGGAGCAAGGTCTTTGGGAGTTCAAGGGGCATCACATCACTAAACTGTAGCACTTTTTGGATCACAGGGGGCACCACCATACCCTTGCTGGTCTCCTTTATCACTAGCACACCAGAAATGTCGCTTGGACCTGCTACAACCCAGCCTTTAGCTGCAATGCAGAGAGGGTCTTTCCTGTCTTGATCCGCACGACCAGCAGCATTCAATGGCCACTATTCCCAAGTTTGGCACGACTGAAGCCTTAGCAACAATAAAAAACTTGAGTCCAAGGATGAGGTCCAAATTATCCAGGGGGACGACTACAAGGTTCGCCGACCCACTCCAATCGCCAACTTTAAGAGCCACCTCGCAAGCTAACCCCAACACAAACTGTGTCACTGAATTCACTGCCTTCATCTTTTTGGCGTCCATAGTCTGTCTAAGGCCTAGCCGCTCAACACCTCGATCCGACACGCAGTTGTGGGCGGCACAAGTGTCCATTACTCGGGCCTCCTTCCCATTCAGCATGACCATCACATACATGAGACCACCTTTTGAGCCTCCTTCACATCTTCTGCATCACATACAGCTGGAGGGCATTGGTATGCATTTGGAGTGTGTTGGCCCTCGTCACCTCCACCTCCCCCTCAGGTACCATTTGCACCGCATTAAGGGATTGCTCATGTGGAAAATCTTTCGCTCAATGGGGTCCCTTCAGATAATGCAGTCCGAGAAGTCCTTGGAGACTGCTTTTCCAGAGGACTCAACCCTAGGCTGCCCACATGCATGTGGCTTGAGGTCACCACCAGCCTTCGTTCTCTTACCACCCTTGTTTTTGTAGGGACAGCATTGAGCTTATAGTCAACAAGACTTCACCACAGCCACCATTGCAAGGAGGCCTTTCACCCCTTGCCTCCTTACCTCGGCCTGAGCCCAAGGCTACAAGCCGGCCATAAAATTAAAGAGCTTGTCCTCCAACATATTTTTGATGAGGCTTGAGAGCTGCTTCACATACTCGTGCACAACAGCATTTTGCTTGAGCTGCTCAATGCCTCGCGAGTCATCCAAGCTGCAATTCTGGGAAGGAATTGCTCCTTCAATTCCTGCTTGAGGTCCTCCCAACTAGTGACAGGAGGCCTCGATCCATCCACAATGTGTGTTCTCTACCAAAGTTTGACATCTATGGTGAGATACATTGCCGTGAGGGTCACTCTATCTTTCTCTGGGACATGGGCAGCCTGGAAGTAGCGCTCCATGTCCAAGAGGAAATTCTCCAATTCTTTAAAACTTCGAGTCCCACTGAACGGTTTGGGTTCTGGCACACGAACCCTTGTTGATTCGACTGTGCTCAAGAGATTAGCTAGTGTAGTCACGGTCTTAAGATTATAAGTGAATGCATCTGTGACGGCAGCAACATCAGCTTCCAGGTCCCCCATAAAGGTTCCAAGGTGTTGTTGTTCTCCTGATGAGCCGCCACCATCCCTCTAGCCGGGTGGAGAGGGCTTCTGGTCTCTCCTTAAGGGTCGTGACACAAGCCACCAGCTCCATCACTCGTTCACTCCTCGTAGGGGCCATCAATTGGAGCGAGCCTCAACTTAGATACCATCTGTCATAGGGTCTTTTTCATCACCTAGCTCGTGCAGCCCTAGCACCCAAGCGACCAATACTTGGATGCTAGGTTCAACCTCTCTCAGTACCGCCACATAGTAGAGGAGCATACTTACAAGGGTAAAGTGCCACTAATCCTCAGTAACCCATCGACGACCCTGGTTGCGTACCACCTGCTCTTGGTCACAGGCCACTATCTCAATCATGCACCACAATCATGCCTTTTCGACTGCATTCCACCACTTGACCCCAAGGGTCCAAGATTGCAAGGCCCTCAGCTTCTTCCCATCAGTCTGCACTGTTCGTGCCGTCTGTGCCCTTACACAAGGCCCCTCGCACCTGGCTGCTTGCACATACAAATCACATGGGTAACATGAGGCTCACATAGAAAAGGGGTCTTACAAGCCTCCCCAACCTCAACTCTGACGTCCTCTTCGGACACTTAGCCTTCGTCGGGTACCCATAAACTGCAACTCTAGCCAATGTTAACGCCCTCTCACTTGGTCAGGTCCATTGCTGCCACCAAGTCTCGCCAGCTTACACATGTGGTCGATCCTCGAGGTACAACCATGTGTCTGAGTGCATGGCCAATCCCATTGTTGCCACCACGTCCCACTCGTCGCACGCATGGTCCGCTCCTCTTGCCACCACCATGTGTCGGGGTTCGTGGCCAAGTCCGCTGCTGCCACCATGCCCCATGCTGCCTCCCATGGATGTCTTCTTAGTGCTCATCTTGGTCATGACACGAGCTTCACGCCTTCAGTGTAATACATCCAATCTCGACCTCTAGGATAGTCAAGTCATGCACAAACCCGCCATCCTTGTGAAGTTCTTTCTACTACTTCTCAAGGTGGTCTACACGATCCCGGGTATGTGGTCAGTTCCACTGCAGCCACCATGCCCCACACTTACTCTGATACCATCTGTCACTAGGGATTTTTCATCGAGCTGCCCGTGGAACCCTCGAGCCCAAGCTTGTTTTACTTAGATGTCAAGTCAGCCTCTCCCAATACCACTACATAGCAGAAGAGCATACTTACAAATGTAACTTGCTGCCAATCATCGCTCACGCATCATTGGCCATGCCTGCGTACCTCCAACTCTATGGTCATGCACCGCTACCTCGGTCATGCACCACGGTCATATGCCTTGTCGACTGCATTCCACCGGTCACCCCAAGATCCACGTCTGAAATCCAAGTCTATCAGCTCTCATCTTCCTCTTGTCAGTGTTGTCCATACCCTTGCACCAGGCCCCCTTGCACCGGGCTGCCTGCACGTACACATCATACAGGTCACATGAGGCTTACAAAGAAAAGGGGTCTTACAAGCCCCCCCCACCTAAACTCCAATGTCCTCATCAGATGTTGGCCTTTGTTGGGTCCCTCAAGTTCCAGGTTGGGACTGGATGATGCTCAAGCTCACTCCCCAGATCTAGAAGAAAATTAGTGCCAAGACAGCACATCGAGGCTCGATCCAACTATATGATGGACCCTTCGCAGTGACCCATGGGATAGGGAAGTTGGCCTATCGATTGGAGCTCCTTGACTGGATCCAGGTGCATCCTGTGTTCCATGTGAGCTTCTTAAAGCCTTATCATTGAGATGAAGATGAGGCGAGGGTGCAGGCTATACGAGCGCCCCTGAACGTGAGAACTCAGTTCACACGCGAAGTTGAGGCTATCTTGGATAAGCACTTGCTGTGGCAAAGCAAGAAGAATCAGAGGTTTGAATTTCTGGTTAAATGGAAGGGCTTGCTAGATGGGGAAGCCAGCTGGGAGAGGGATGTAACCATATGGAAGTATGAGGGTCTTGTCCAAGAGCTTATGGCTAGATCCTTGAGGAGGACATGGGGCTCTCATAGTGGGGGAGGCTTGTCAAGCCCCCAACTTGGTGCATGCATACTGGTCGAGGGGAACGACCAGCAAAGCTCCCTTGAGACATCAAGCCTAGGGGAAAGGCCCCATGATGCTCCTGGTGCACATAAGCTACTTTGGCAGAAAGATATGTCACTCCTGCCAGTCTAGTTCTTTAAGCATATACTCCTAGATGAGAGGGTAGTGGTAGCCTTGGGTCGTCTGCCGATTAACAGTGGACAAGGCACACAGGATAGTGCACACAAGTGTGGACTGATAGGAGGAAGCTAAAGGCCTGACAATCTTGGACCCTTGTGAGGGACCTTGGGGTCAAACGGTAGAATGCAGTCGACAGTACATGGCTATGGTGCATTACCGAGATAGTGGCGGTAGAATGCAGTCGACAGGTGGTATGCTCAACAATGCGTGACCGAGGATTAGCAGTACTTTACCCTTGTAAGTATGCTCTTCTGTTGTGTGGTGATATAGGATTAGCAGCACTTTACCCTTGTAAGTATGCTCTTCTGTTGTGTGGTGATATTGAGAAAGGATGAACCTGATATCCAAGTATTGGCCGCTTGGGCGCCAAGGCTGCACGGGCTAGGCGATGGAAAAAACCATTGTGCTATAATGGAACAACAGGCGTGAAGTCGTTTGTGCCTCAGAGTGCTTGCTTGCAGACGATGACATCAAAGGATGGTCGGTAGATTTGGGTGCTAACTGTTACATTGCAAGCTCCAAGAACATCTTTGAGGACTTTACATAAATAAAAGCCAAGGAAAATCACATCTACATTGAGAACGACACCTACGCTGATGTATTAGGTATAGGAACACATAGATTGTTCGACCCTCATGGTCAAGTGGGAGATGTTGGGGCATATGACCATGGGGATATATTAGGTATAAGAACACATAGATTGTTCAACCATCATGATCAAGTGGGAGATGTTGAAAAGCATATGGCCATGGGGACCTCACGCCGCCTCACCTACTTTTATGGGAAGAATCCCATAGGAATTTATTTATTTATTTATTTATTCTTATCCTTCATTAAAAACCTTTTCATAAATATAACATATACAAATAATTATTTTTTAAGTGGTTTCAAATGGTTATATGAGAATAAGCACATACATACCTGATATCTAGGTGGTTAGATTCTCATAGACCTGTTGAGAAGGAACGTTGGACTCCCTTATTTCGTATATATAAGGGAGGGCAGAGAGCAGGTTTTAACATTGTGAAATTACAAACCTTCTCTAATAGCTGCTTCTCTCTCTAAAGGTTCCTAAAATAAAAACCTGGTGGCATTCCCTCTCATATCTGGGGTTTTGGCGCTCATCCTCATATCCAATATTTCCTTTCATTTGACAGTAAATGTAAAAGAAACTCCAAGATGATCACCATGAAATCATGATTTTTGTGGTTTAGCACTATGTGAGTAGTAAATGTTCCAAGAAATTGAAAATAGTTGTTTCTCATATATAATTTACGATGGGCTCCATACAGCTATTTTAACAATTAAACTGTAAAAATATCCATTACAGAAACTGTTCTGCAATGGTGACTTTAAGAGAAAAGGACCAAACTAAAAAAAAATTGATCTATAATGGGATAGATAAACATATCATCATAATCAGGGCTTCGAAATGAAGCATCAAATATCCCAACTCTTACGAAATTAAGGCAAAGCAAATGGAAAATACGCCATAAAAAAGGCACTCCAATACTAAATTGAAGACCAGGATATAAAATGACCAGAAACAGTTATGGTGAATATACTCATAAAGTACCAAAGAGAAATCATTATCATGGTTATCAGGAAATGACACAATCATTCATTAACGACCCCCATTTGATCAGAAAGAGATGGGCATCTTCATTTAATTAATGAAAATATATTAAATAAAAATAAAAAATGGAGCCAAAGAATAAAAGGGAACAGAAGACTAGCAAATACTTGCCTGAGGAAGAGAAGGTGGATACAATTGTTTGAGAAGTGATTCGTGGAACTTCGATAGTTTCTCTCTCTTCATTTGATTCTCTGTTTTTCCTCCCTCTCTCTTGGAGGTGGACGGGCTGCAATTGTTTGAGACCTTGACGGCCGGCCTTTGACCTTCTCTTTCGATGGAAATTACATACACGGCTAGTCGCTTTATCGTCGCAACTTGGCATGACACTTTTAACATTTACATTTCTTACACCGTCCATCAAATCTATGAACGGTATTTATTTTTGGAAGCACACTCAGCAATGTCTACTAACTACTTTTAATTTTGCCACCCAAATATGTATGGCAATACGACCCAGAGATTTTTATTCGGGTCACCGATCTGGATGTGAGATCGGTCGGGAGTGTGCTGGTATTTCTCCCCCCCCCCCCCCCGATAAACCTCCTTTTACTTTTTCTTTACCTTTTTTTACGTTTTACGTT